AATAATAATAATAATGTAACAGTAAACCAGTTTGTTTTTAAAACAAAAAAAAAAAAAAAGAAAATTATTATATACACACCCGTTTTTTAAATAGAAAATTTATTCATCATCATCATCATCATCATCACTTTTATAATTTAAAACTGTATGAAAACACATTTAATAATAAAACGACTCATTTCACTTTTTTTTAAATATATACAATAATAGACAAAAAAAAATGCACGTGTAAAAGAAAGTACAAGTAGTAGTACCCACGTTGAGTTCTAAAGTAGTACTGATTTGTCAAGTACAGCTGATTCCAGTCAGATACTATACTAGAGGTACCACAATTCTACATTGGCCTCGACTACCATTAAACGTCATAGTGCAGGTTTTTATTTTCTTATTTTTATTAAATGATAGTCATAACGGAGTACTACCATTTTTTCATTTTTTTTCTAAGAGTTTCCATTTGATGGTAATAAACTTTATTAATTCGAATATGATTTGTGTAATGTAATTAAAAAAATGTGGTGTTAAAAAAGGTAATAGAAAAACCACATTTATATATATATTGTTTTACAATATTTCCGGTTTAAAAATCAGGTGTTACCTTAACCAAGGTGTGCCTGGTTGTTTTACTTAGTTCTAATTTAATATTGAGTAAGAGAAAAGCCATGATTAAATTATATGAAAATAATGTTGATAGCCTTGAGTGAATGTAAAATAAATTTCAAATGTAACAAAATTTAGTTTAAAATAATAATAATAAATAACGAGTTTTAACGAAATTTTAAATGACAATTTGAAAAAAACGGTAATCGAACACATACCCATAATAATAATAATAATTATCCCATTTCACAACGTTAAAATTATAATTACTTTTACTTGAAAAATATGTCATTTTATAAAAAGTATTTCGACAAAATTAAATCACAAAAGAAAAACTTTATTTATTACTTATAATATTTGAATTATTAAAATAAAATGAAAAAATTTTGAAATGAGCGTCGTTGTCAAAATGATTCGGTCGCCATCTTTTTTTTTTGTTGCAAATTTATGCATAAGTAATGCAATTAAATTAAAAACTCGTTAATTATTATTAATTCGCGTGATTTAACGAAAATTTATTTCTTTTTTAAAATGTTAATAATAATAATAATAATTTAAACTCACCGTTATTTAAAAAGCATATTTCTTTTTTTTTTGAAATTTGCAAATTTTTTTTTTTTACTTTCAACTGTAATGAAATATGATTCTTATTAACTTTCTTTCAAACATTTTTATTATTTTAAATAATTCCCATTTTATTTATTTCATTCATTTATTAAATGAAATTTAACTTGAAATAAAATATCACACGCACAAAAAAAACGCAACGTAATCGTAATATTTAACTGACTAAAGCTAAAAAAAAAAAAAAAAGTTTTAATTAATATAATTTCTATCCGTATATAATTTTATGTAGAAAGTTTTTTTTTTTGTACGTTAAAAATAACGCCATCTACCTTTTTACGCGGAAAGTTAACAATTCGAATATAACGCACGAAAAAAAAAAAAAAATTATTAAATGACCATACCTACGATATATGTAAACGATAAAAATGTAAAATATTTATAAAAAAAGAATAAAATAAATTAAAGAAGAAAATTTCTTTTATCGTAAACCTAATAAAAAATTTTTTCTTTTCTGTCTGTCTGTCTGTTTAAAGTATTGTTGCGTCAGAGAGAGAGAAAGTCGTAATGTTAATTTTTAATCCGGGAGACAAAATTATCGTTAATCGTGTTTAGCTTACCTGAATACGTTAAATAAGACCTTGCAAACGTACCGCATTGCACGTGACGTCATTTATTCTGGAATTTTGTGTCTTTTGCATCGTCAAAACCGTTGTAGGCTTGATTTTGATGTAACAATTTCTTTGTCCTTGCATTTTTTTTTTACTTTTTTTTTTCAATTTAACTATAAAAAATTAATTAAAAAAAAGTAAATTTTTCTCACGCATAACTTATAATAATAATATTAAAATTACACGACGATGAATTTGAAACTTATTTATTTAAACCAAAACAAAATCGACCGTAAATTTATTTTATAATAATAATAATAGTATTCCTTTTAATAAATAATATTTCTAATAATGTTAATAATAATATTCCTTTTTAATTTTTTTTGGCAATATTTTATGTAGAGTAATTTTACGAAAACAGAAAATTTCTTAAAAGCGCCTAAAATTTTTTAGTTATGCTTTTTGCAAAACATAAAAGCACATAAAAAAGCATAAACGCAAAATAATTATTTATTTATTTAAATAAATAATTAATTTTAAAGTCCTTGATTGAGTTCACACAACAATTTAATTATAAATAAAGATTATTATTATCAATTATTATATTTTAATAGTTTTAATAACGATAATAATTGATACAATTAATAAATATCAAATTCGGAAATTTTTTTTTTTTTTAATAAGTCGACTTCATCAATTTTTAATTAAATTTTTAAAATATCCAAAAAAAAAATTTAAATATTTTTCAAAAGGGGGGGGGAAGGGGAAGGGGTAAATTTAAAAAATAAGTAAAAATGCAACAGACGCAATAAAATAAAAAAAAAAACGCAAAACAAGTAAAATACGTTTCTCTCCCTTTCTATCAATTATCTTTTTTCTTTTTTTTTTTTTTCTATCTCTGTCTTTTACTCTCCCCACCACATCCAACAGGAAAATATATTGGTTAAAATATGTTCTGTTGGACTAGTTTGACTAGCACGGGGATAAGATTAAAAACGTTATTTTTATAATTTTTTTATGTTTTAATTTATAAATATATATATAATGGAAACAGTTCGATCCCCTGATTTATTTCACATACAGAGATCATCAGCCATTGTTAATCTTCAACGTTTTCGTGGTAGGAAAATAACGCCATCGCAATTGGTTGAAGATGAATTTATCGATGATTTGTGTCTTACGTCACAGGTATCCATTAATTATATTAACGACTTTCATTTATTTATTTATTTTGAACCTTTGATTTTCTCTTTGAAAAACAATTAAAAAATTATTGCGTTTTTATAAAAACCTAATAATAAATATTATTTAAAAATAAATAAATAAATAAATTATTATTTAAAAATAAAACATGACATAAAACATTTTTAGTTTTTAATGTACATAAATAAAAATAAACCTTTTGAAAAAGAAAAAAACAAAATTATCATCATTATGTATACCAAAAATTTTTCAATGTAGACCTTCAAATAATTTTTCTACTGACAAGACTTTGGCTTTGTTACAAAAAAAAAAAAAAAAAAAATTGTTTGTTTTTCTTTTTTTTCTTTGATTTCAGGATAATAATGATGATGCCTTACATAAATCATACAGCCCAGCATCTCATGCGATTTGGGATGTCAGTGATGGAGTCAGTATTATTTTTAATTTTTAATTAAAATGTGTTTTTTTTAAATAATAATGATGATTGCAGATTCACTCAAAAACATCTTTTCATTTAATTATTATTATTATTAATTAATAAATGAAAAGATGTTTTTAATAAAAAAAAAGAAATTAAATTTACCTTTTAGTGTTTCAATCATTTCTGACACAAATTTATTTCAAATTAAAAAAAAAAGTGATAAAATATAAATGTAAGACTTCTTCTTCGTCGTGATAATGATAATAAATTAATGAAGCCAATCAAAATTTCCCGCTGGAGAGTTGTTTGAAATCTAATGTACAAAGAATACATCATTATCATTAATTGAATAATATTTACTCAAAAAAAATAAATAAATAAAATTTTTTTTTGTAACTTTTTATGTAATTATTATTATTATTATTGAAATAAGTTGGAAAATGTTTTCCAGGATAGTGATAAAGATAACTCAGAATCAACACCGAAAATTCTTCCTCTTATGTGTCTCAATGCTGGAGCATTGAATGATATTCCAGCACGATATACTATAACTTCATTACCTAATTACGAATTTCCAGCTGTTGGTGTTTATGTAGATTCTAGAATCATTCCAGGATTTTCTTACAGGGTTAGAGTTCTTCCAGAACCGGTGAGTTTACATGTACCAACACTTCCAACTGTAAAAAATACATAAGTAAGTTAGTTATCAGACAAACAACAACAACAATTTATGATAAAAAATTTTTTCCAGAACGCATCAGAAAAATCATGTTATTTATTTGATGGGAAACCACTTGTACTATTAAATATAGGTCGCGGATATTCCAAAAGGTTAACATTTGAACCTGATATAAATACAACATTAAATGAAAATAAAAATTATTTTTGGACAGATTCCAGAAGTGGAGGATTCGGTTTTGAGGTTCACGTATTAAATGTTGGTGATAAATTTATGATACACGATCCAAGTCGTTTGGTCGTTGGAACATTAGAAATAATAACCGTTCAGGTATGAAAAAAATTTTCCCATTTAAATAATAATAAAGAACTTAAAAAAAAAATTGTTATTACTTTGTTCAAGGGTCATCAAGAAGAAGTATCACACAAAATTCTCAAAGATAAAACAATTGAAAAAAGAGTTAAAATAAAAGGAATGTGTAAAATTGAATGGTTTGATGATTCAGGCACAACAACCATTTTACAACCGGTATAATGTTTTGTTCTTTTGGATGTTTGATGACGTCTTCGTCGTTTTAACTTTATTTGTTTTAGATGAACGGTTTGGTAGTCACCCAGAAGAAGAAAGGAACGTTTAAAGCAATTATAACGCGTATCACATCTGTTTCTATAGGAAGAAATAATAAGAAAAGAGGTTTTACATTAACTCCTGGAGTGAAAACAAACTGGAGACGTACGGTTGTAAATGGTGGTACAATTGGTGATGCACCAACTAAATACACAATTAAAGGATTAAAACCATATGAATTACCTGTGATAGGTAAGACAAATCGATTTTTTTTTAATACAATTAATTTCTCTTATCAATTTGCAAGTAAAAAAAACAAATAAAAATTCACACTGATAACAAATAATGTAAACTTTGTTACACACAAAAAAATAATTTTTTTCCTTTAGGAACTTATGTGGATCCAAGAATAATCCCTGGATTTAGATACAAAGTTCGTCCAGCTGAAAATAATAATAATAATTACATATTTAACGGTCAACCACTTGAATTAATATCAATAGGTGTGGGTTATGGTAAAAAATTAACATTTGAATGTCAACAAAATCAACTCAATGAACCTGAAAATTATTTTTGGAGCGATTCATTAGCCGAAGGTTTCGGGTAAATTTTTTTTTATTAAAATTTTTGTCTTAAACTTTTTTTTATTTATAATTTTTTGTTTATTTTTAAGATTCGAACCGGTAGCACTTGAAGTTGGTTTAAAATTTAACATAAAAGGACGAGGTCTCACGATAGGATTTGCAGAAATATTTAGAATAGATGCTCCTCAAAAAGAATTACATCAAGAAATGGTAATCAAATAAATTATAAATAAATTTTTACATTAAAAACTATTAATAAAAGAATTGTTTGTTTGTTTTTAAAGGAAAAAACTGAAAATGGTTTAGTTTTAAAAAAATACATAGAAATAGATGTGACGTGTCACGTGACTTTACATACAAAATCCGTTAATGATGAAGTTATGAGAGTGACCGGAACGGCTGTCATGAGTAAAAAATCAAAAGAAAAAAAAGTTAAATTATTGAAAATTGAAAATATCGGTTTAGATTCACAAATTAATTTATTATTTATACACGAAGATGAAAAATTAATTTTCGTACCGATTTAAATTTTCTTTTCTAAACTTGAAAATAACGACGACATTATAATTCGATCTCAAAAAGCCAAAAATTTAAAAATAAAAAAAAAGAAGTTTTTTCGCGCCCTTTTCCCACATTAAATTATAAAAATTTTGCTCAAAATGTATTATTCATTCATTTAATTGAAAACAACAACAAAATTATTATTATTAATAAATAAATTTGAAATAAATTATAGTTAAACAGTAGTAAATGGGGGAGTGGGAGGGGGAAAAGGGCTTTGCCAAACTAGTATTATTATTATTAATTGTGAAAATATATAAATTTCGTGAGAAAACTTTTATTTACCTGAAATATTGTAGCTTTGTATTCTTTAAAAAACGATTGAAGGATTCATTAAATATTTTTCTCTCTTAGTTATAGAATCAATAGAATCCATTTCAGGTTTTTCCAAAAAAAAATCATAGAGTAAATAATTATTGATGATATCTTTTGGATTAATTGATTGTGGTATGACTGCAACACCTTTGTTTAAAATCCATCTAAAAATTCATTTAAAAAAATTTATTAATATGTATAATTTTATGTAATTGTTAAACAATTTTTATAATAAATATTAATTATTTCATTTACTTGAGCAATACTTGTGCAGAAGTTTTATTTATTTTGTTTCCTACAAATCTTATTGTATCATCTGATAATAATAATGGATGAAATGTATTTTTAAAACTTGTGGCTTGCAATAAAATATTATTTTCTTTACAATAATTCAATAGATTTTTTTGAGGACATCTTGGATGAAATTCAACCTGAAAACAAACAAAAAATTAAACATGTGGAAAAGTAAAAGGAAAAGGAAAAAAAAGAAAACTCACTTGATTTATGGCTGGAACATCAAGTTCTAAAGACTTGAAATCTTCTAAATGTTTTATATCAAAATTACAAACTCCAATGTTTCTAACTCGGCCATTTTTTTTAAGTTTTATCATTTCTTTCCACGTTTCAAGTCTTATAATTAAATTAACATCATTATCTGGATCTTCGTTGTATCCTCCTGGCCATTGCATTAAATATGCATCCAAATAATCGGTTTTAAGATTTCTACATGTCTGCCAAAAAGCTTTCTCTGTATTTTCACCGTAGTTTTTCGGATGTAATTTTCCTATTATAAACACATCACATCTTTTTAAATTAAATTTTGGTAGTAATTCTTGTAACACGAGCCCAAAATTTTCTTCTCGTTCGCATATTGGATTACATTCTGTAATAATTATTAATAAATTATACAATATTTTATTTAAAATTGAAAATATAACGGTTATACATACCGAACGACCTGTAACCGGTTTTCAATGCTACCGCAACTGATTTGCAAACATTTTGAAAATCTTTGATTTCACTGACTCCAACTGAAAATTAAAATTTTTTTTTTTAATAAATAAATAAATAAATTTTATTTAATTAATTTAATCATGAAATACTTACAAGATACCATAGGAAATTTATTTCCATTGTTAAGTGTGTATTCTTTATCTAAAACTGAAGACGGTAAGAAAAAGAATATTTCATAAAATGTTTTTACTGACATTCAATTTTCAATTTGTTTTATCGTCCGAAACAAAATGGCGGATTTCAAAATTTGTTTTTAATGCGCCAAAACCCACGTTTGTTTATATTATTTAAAAGGTTATTATCAAGTTTTTTTTTTTTTTTTTAATAAGAAATACATGAAATAATAAACATGTTTATTTGAAATATTAAAAAGATACAAAAAATTATATAGAAATATTTCATTTAAAATCTACAAAGCAAATTTAATTTGAGTTATTATGAAGAAAAAAAAAATTTTTTTTTTTAAATGTAAATTTAATAAACTCTTTTACGATAAGAAAATTAAAACTTAAATTATTATATAATCCCAAAATCAACAATTCAAAAACATTAACAATATCATCACATCGAGTCCTTTGCATTTTATGCAAAAAATTATTTATTTAAAACCATTTAAGGCACCAAAGTATTTACATCAATAGAAACCGTTTTAACTCTTACAAAACACGTTCACAATTTAAAAATTTAAATATTTGAAGTTAATTTCTTCGAGAGTAAAATCTAATAAATTATCTGGTTTTTACTCCATATTTTAAAATAATTATTTTTAATTTTGGACCATTTGTCTTGATAATTTCGGGCAGCCATTTTTAACTGATAATAAGTAATCGAACGTTGAAATTTATTTTCATTAAAAATATTTTTTGTAATAATGTCATTTTCAGGAAATGATTTAAAAGTTTCTTCGAACAGCAAAAACAATTCTTTTTTACATATCGAAGTCCTTCCTTCTTTTTTATTCAAATTTTTTTTTGTAACTCCTTGTTTATAACCGTTAACGGACACTTCTAAATTTGTAGCAGATGTTTTACACCAAATTATACTCAATGAACATGGTTTTTTACTAACAATTTTAATATCTGGAAAATTTACTTCACTTTGATAAATAGGTACATTTTGAAAAACTCTTTCATTCACCGCTCTGTGAAAGGATTGTTTCGAATATGGACATCCTCCTAAAAAAAAATTATTGTTTAAATTATAGGAAAAATACAATTTAAATAATTGTCGAATAAAATATGACTCACCTCCACAAATTATGCCTTCCATAGTGATAGGGTTTGGTATGAAAAAACTTAATAAAGCTCCTTGCCAACCGATTGCATTCCATTTTGCAATTTTGTCAGAACAAGATAAACTAAGTGTAGGATCTCCACGACCTGGTTTCGTTCTTACAGCTCCTATACAATGATAATTCACACCAGGCAAATATGGATCTTGAATTATCGAATCAGGAAGGCACTTAGCTCCTGTTCTGTGAATATCTTCTATTTTATCTATACCAAAATATAAAATCATAAACTAATCGACAACATGTTAATTTACTACAAAACATTCCAGGGATGTGCAAATTTGAAGCTTACCTAAGTCCGAATTGAATGATTCATCGTTAGAAGTGACTTCATTTCCTACATCCTCAAACTTTTTCTTTTTTATCGGCTCATCATCAATTAATAGTTTTCTTTTAAGAGGATTGTCTTGTTCAACATTTAAATTATTAATTAAACACTCCCTAAAATGCCAATTAATTTTTTCAATTGATAATGTTAATAACTAATTTTTGACATAAGAGAAAAATATTGCACTTACTCTGCATTTAAATCTTTTTTCGGCATGATTGATGCATCTCCACATGGTGACATACTTGTTACAAAATAAAATTTAACTGAATTTTTTATTTGAAAATAAGAATTTTCTTTGTGCAAAATTTTTGAAAAATTAGTTTTATTAAAATTAATAATTTCGTTATATAAGTATTTTAAAAAGGCACGCCTAGCAATAACTTCAGCATGTGAATCATTCAAAACATTTCCTTTAGGACTCATTGAACTTTTTCCTATGCACTTTGAACCAGTTCCAAGAGATAAAATTTCAATTTTGGTGCCTTCAATTACTCCAACAATTGCTGATATAACTGTCCACTCATTAGTTAAGGGTTTACCCTTTTTAATAGATAAATATTGATTGATACAAGCATTTACAATAGCATTTATTTGAGTCATTTTAATTTTTTGAAATATCATTATTTTACAACATTTGGATCCCAGGAAAATTTTTCATTTGCCTTGATTGAATCTAACAATTGTATATCTTCATTACTTAATTCAAAATTTAAATCAATGTTTTCTCTTATTCTTTCAGGATTCACCGATTTTGGAATAATAGCAAAACCATGCTGCAATGCCCACCTGAAAAAATTATGACATTTTGTTTACAATTAAAAAATTATCAAATATGATATTTTCAAATGTAATTAAAGTTAAAAAAAATTACTTTAATAGCACTTGTGCACTACTTTTATTTATTTTTTTGCTGATGTCCAAAACAACAGAATTTTTCAATAACAAATTTGTTTTTCTAGCTCCTCCTAGACTACTGTAAGCTTGAAGTAAAATTTTTTCATTATTGCAAAATTCAATTAGATCAAGTTGTTTATACAGTGGATGATATTCAACCTAAATAAAATATTTCTTTAGTTATCACAATAATTTTTTTTGATCAAAAAAAATTCATATGAAAAAAAAATGCTTACTTGGTTCACAACAGGTACTACACCATTACAATCAGCAAGTAATTCTTTTAAGTGATCTGTAGTGTAATTGCTTACTCCTAAATTTTTAATAAAACCCTTATTATAAAGTTCTGTTAATTCAAACCATGATTCCCTTCTTAATTTGCTATTCAAATTTGATTTTACATCTACTCCCTCAGCACCAGGCCAGTGAATTAAATACAGATCAATATATGTGGTCTTTAATTTTTCTATCGAACTCAATGCAGCATTTTTTGCTTTGTTTTTTCCCTGATCATGAGGTGCCAGTTTTGAAGTTATATAAATATCACTACGAGTCAAGTTATACTTGGGCAAAAGCTCAATCAAAGCATTTCCTATTTCTTCTTCGTTTCCATACACAGCTGCTGTGTCTAAATACATAAAATAATTACAATAATAAATTAAATAACTGTTAAGCATTAGATGAATTGATATTTTTAACAAAAATAAACACTGAATACAAACCGATAGACCTATATCCAGCATCAAGTCCTGCATCAATGACTTTTTTAATTGTATCTGACCCTCTTATTAGATAAGTTCCCACTAAAATATAATATATAATAATTATAGTAAATTTAAAAATAGAAAAAGTTACAAAAATTTAATAAAACGAAACACATACAACCAATTAAAGGGAACTGATTTCCATTACTTAATGTGTACATTTTACTGCATTAAATTACTTCATTTTAAAACAGTACCTGAACACAATTCAATTATTTATCCGCAGTCATAGAGATCCGGTTCACTGAATGTTTATGACGTGATTAAGATTTAAAGACACTAATATAAAAGGCGGTGTAATATTTATAATGTTTCACGTTAATTACACTTTTATTATTTTTCGTAAAAATAATTTCATTAATATACTATATTTATTCATTTATTTTTAAAAAAAATAAGGGTTGTAAAGATAAAACATTATAAATTAAAAATAAATAAGTGTAAAAAAAATTTTAATCACTCATTTTTATTAATTGTTAGTTGAAAATAAATACAGAGCATCTTACAATCAGTAATTATGACATATTATTACATTAGAAATATATTTTATAATAATTTTATCTTTTAAGGATTAAATTAAAATAAATTTTTAAATATAATAATTACAAGAATACACTTATAATAAATGTTAAAACATATTTTTATATGGAAATGTTAATCAATATAATTGGAAATAATTCTTACTTATGCTTAAATCATTTGAATTAAAAAAAAAATAGAAATTATAAAACTTATATAAAAATTTCTAAGTTCTTTAAAATAAAAAAAAAAAAAAAAAATTTACATCGTTTTCTTTGGGTAATGATGAATATTTATATTAAACTGTTCTAGTAATTAAGAGAAAAAAATATTTTTTTTACAAATTAATCAGTAGTTATTTTTTTACACTTTAAAAAAAAAGCAAATTAAAACTTTTAATTATTTTCACTTAGAGTAAGCCTTGTCTTTTTAAATCATCAAAAGTCTTTTTATTTACAACATTCCCTAATGAATCTTCATATTCTTCTTCTAATTCTGGTTGCCATCTTTCACCTTGTTTTTGTGATTTTAATTTTTCCCATACTATAAAAAAATTTTTTTAGTATCATATATTAAATATTAAAATTAAAGTAATTCTTTAGTTTTTATTGAATGGTTATTTTAGATAACATTTCAAAATTCTTATGTGGCCATTTAAAAAAAATTAAATTTAAATATAAATTTTAATAATGATAAAGCATAAAAAAAAATAATTAAAAGGTTTTTAATTGAACTTACAAGCAAGAGCATCTTCAATTTGTGTAACATTAGCAAAATGAGCTGTATTTGGAATACCTAAACACCTCATTCCATGAGCATGACGCCATTCGGCAAAATGTCTTTGAAATGCCTTCGGACCTTTATAAGTAAAATTACCACAAATTTCGCAATTATATGAAATATTTAACCCATGCAGCTTGTAGAGCCAATATGGAATTGGTTTTCCATCCCAACCTATAATGATTTATTATAACAAATTACTTATTTTAAAATTATCATTAAAAGTTATTGTTTTATTCAAAAGCTATGATTTATATTTATTTGTAATAACGTTATTATTAAGCAGCGATAAAAAGAAAAATTAAAGTAAAAAAATTTACCCAAAGGTAAGTTTTTAGGATTATAGGGTACATCTTCAGTATCTTCCCCTTCAGATTCTGAAGCAGAAACTTCTACATCAGAATCATCTCTTTCTCCTTCCGTTCTAGCTTGTTTTCTTTGGACATTTTCTTGTGTCGCAGCTCTTTGGTCAGAAACCATGTCAGCCAATTTGTAAACCTGATTTTTATACACATAAATAGGTCAATAAACTATAATATCCTACAATTAATAAGAAGATTGAAAAGAATTTAAAAATAATACCTGTGCTTCCAAAGCAGCAATGCTTTTATTTCTTTCATGATCCTTTAAATGTCCACTCTTTTGGCCAGGTTTTGTTTTAGCAATTAAAGATGCATCAAATTCTGTTTTTCCTTTTGTGCTAAACAATCTCTGAGCTCTTTCTTCCAAAGTACCCCCACATTTTAATCCCAAAGCCATCAATGCTGATTTTAACCTATCAAGTCCTAATGAAGCAAGTTCTTCCCATGTCGAAAAAGCCGATAAATCTAAATGAGCACCAGCATGTGTCAAAGCACTGCCTGCTTCTTTCGGCCATCCTAACAAAAAATTTTAGAAAGTTAAAATTATTTTTTAAAGTAACAATACTGCAATATTATTTACATTGTTAATAAATAAATATTGCATTTACCTGGAAAGGTACCATTTTCCCATTGGGTTTGAAATTCTGCTTCAATATTTACATATTCTTTATCTAAATCATAAAGTGGTTTGATTCTTCTTATAAATTCATGTAAATAATCAACCACACTTTCTAGGTATTTTCTGTATTCTGCATTTTTTCTATCTTTGGGAATATCATATAAGTGATCAAAAGTTGTTAGATAGGCAATGTAATCAATTTTGTCGATTCCTTTTAAGTTTAAAAATTTATAATAACATTCATGTAAATCTAAATATTTTCCATAACCTTCTTCATCTGTAAATTCGACCATATTGTAATTTTCTTCTGTAGGATTTTCTCTCATTTTTGCCAATTCTTCAAATTCAGCTGACATGGGAATTCCTATTTCATTAGGGTGTCGTCTATAAAAATCTTTAATGGCTTTTAAACGAGAATAAAATTCAGTGAATTCGTGGGGACCAGAAAGTGCGGCTACTTCTTCTTTTCTTAAACCATCCTTATCCTCATAAAGTTCTTTTAAATGATTTGTACTCTCCATATAGTGATCAATTAACATTTTCAGTCTATGATCAGAGTTAATTTGTTCTCTTGAACCTCCAGCTTTTTTATAAAGCATTTCTTTTACCATAACATCCATCAGACGTTCTCGTTCTTCATGATATCGTCTTTGCTGTTCTAAAATTGTTTCCATAGCTTCAGATTTAAGTAACTGCTTGTAATACCTAACATATAAACAAACAAGAACTGTAACACGCTCTTGCAGACTACTGTTTACTGCCGGATAATTCGACAGTGTAAATAGAAAATTAAAAAGTTGACGTGGAACAAGATAATTTGGTGCTTGAAATATTGTACTTTTCAGTATGTAATGTGTTTCTTTTTCAAAAATATTGTGATGAGTTAAAACTTCTGTCATTTCTTGTTTTTCTGACCCAGGTTAGTCTTTTTTTTTAGTTTACTATTTACTGAATTCATTTTATAAATGTCGTTCTTATGAATTTTACAAAAGTAAGTGATTATAACGTTACTTAAAAATTAATTACTTTTATCATATACTTTGGTTTTTACTGGTTATTTTTAATTTAAAAAAATTTTTTTTAAGTAAGATGTTACTTGAATTGATTTTGAATGTGTGTCATTAATGTCATTATTGAAAAGGATATTAACTGAAAAATCCCTTAATGAGCTAACTTTAATTAATATTTTTTTTATTTAATTTTTAGTTGTTAAATTAACATTGATAAAAATTATGCTATTGATATTTATGAATTTTGAATTTTTTTTTTTTCTCAAATAATTTTTTACTCATTTTATTGCAAGTGAAAAGATTTAATTGAAAAAATGTTGAATAAATTATTATTATTAGTGCTTTGCTAAAAAATATCCTATGAATTTTTACAGTCACTAGTATATTCATCTTCATAAAACTAAAAAGTTACACATTCGAAATTTTCCTCTTTACTATTCTTATAAAGCACTCGTTTTAACAGAAAATTTTTTAATCAAACCTTGTGTGCAAATTAAACTAATTAATACATTGAAATATAATTGAAAAATTGAATATTAGAATTTAACATATTTTTTTTTTTCGATTTAGATTAATTTAATTTCTTATGTATTTCTCATCATTTTAAAATAGAAAATTAAAAATCTGCCTGCAGGCCATATTCCTTTGACTATTAAATATTTTTTTATCACAATGTGCACTCAGTTTTTTTTATATAAAATTTGTAACTATTATTCAATTAAATTGTCTCGATTTAAATATTTAGTATTTTATTACAGATAGTAAGAAGTTATTATCGAAATAGATAATAAATTGCTTGTTAATCATATTTATTTATTTCAATTATTATTATTATTATAATTTATAAGTTAGAATAAATATTAAATTTAAATTGAAGCTTTTATTTGAAATTTTAATTATAATATTATATAATTAGCTTACTAATGATTTTTTTTTTGAAGTTATAAGGCTCATAAACTTAGAGAAAATGCCTGAAATTTTTTTTGTCAGTGTTAATAAAATATATATTTATGTACACGAA